GCTGCCAATGCACATCTAGCTGTGTCTTATTATTACACATCGACTGATATAAATTTGTCAGTTCAAATGCATGCACTTGAAAACTTAACTTTAGCGCACATTTTGTTTAGTTGCTAAGTCATGTCCAACTCTTTGCGAACCTATGTACTGTAGCCCTCCAGGCTCCTCCATCCATGGGATCTTCCCAGCCAGAATACTGGAATGGGTTGCCATTTCCTCCCTCCACACCATCATATAAATACCCAATTAAAAATGTAGCTCATAAAATACAATACTTCATAGCAGTTTTTGCTGTTTCTAAACTTTACCCCATAGGACTGCTTTAAAAGAATCTCTCTTTACAAATAAAGCAATATAAGCTCACTATCAAACATTTGAAAAAGAAACATAATTGCTTCATTCCTCTTCATCAGCTTGGGATACAAGCAGAAATCCTGTTTTGTTAAAATTAGGTGACTCGAGTCCCACACCACTTTTACAGAAGAGGTCATTCTTTCCTCTTTGAATCCTCTGTCCTGAAATAATTCCCAGCCCACTTTGGATTCTTACACCTCCTCTTCCTGAGATGTCATGCTGGCCAGAAATCTAGAAGCCATCCTTTCCTCTTCACTCTTCAGATCTGCTTAACACTAGGTCCATGGATAAATTAAATACTTCACCCAGGTCATACAGCTTTTGGTGGGTGAGCTTTAGGAGCCAAAATCTAGTGTTTAGAAGGTTTGTTCCAAAACATGCCGTTCTTATGCTTCTGGGGAGGCATCATGAGGGCTCCATGGAGGACTTGGGTAGAATCAAGCGTTCCCCAGTTCCCCCTTCCTCCCCAAGAACCTTCTTCTCTTGGCATCACTGCTATCATACAGCAAAATCCTGGGGATTTTCCTGACCTAGGGGATCGAACCTGTGTCTCCTGCATTGGCAGGCATAATGTTTACCACTGAGCCACCTGGGAAGTCCCGTCATACGGCTACTAAGTGTCAAAAGCAAGACAGTGCATTTTTATGTGAAACTATTACCTTTTTTTAATTTTGCTGTTTCAAAATTTTATTAATGAAATTCCCAAGTATCCAGAGAAGCTGGAAAAAAATAGTACAGTAACACATACATCCACCATAAGACTTCAACAACTGTTAACATTTGCTATACTTGTTTTATCATCTACTGATCTAGCTATTCAGCTAGAGTTACTTTTCCAAGGGTTCCTTCTCATTTTCTGACCCTGCCTTTTCATAGCATCTTGTTTTTTTTTAACAGATGTCATATCATTTCACATCTCTTTAGTGATAAGTAATTCATTTTGTAGGGTTTTTATTTGATTCTTCTCACAGTCCCTGAATTATACATTTCTTGTGGGGTCAGTTTTTCTCTTTTTACCTTTCTTTGTCATACTGTTCTCAAATGTTTCATGAATCCAGTTATCAGGCTCTTCTTATGAAGAAGAGAGGAGAAAGGCTGCCTAGGACACTGGGTGCGTGTGCAGGACGTGCTGAGTGGCAGGCTTCAGTTCATGGTGAATAGTCTGAATGTCCTGCTGAGACTTCTCAAATGCTGGAATGAGATGGCTTTGTGCCAGGTTACCAACGACAATGACTGCTGTGCAAGTTTCCTTGGAAACAGGCTTCGCTGTCTTTATAAAAGTCCCCTCCGGTCATTGGTTGGTTGGTCGGTTTTGGTTTGGTGTGTGGTTGAACATCCAGTTGCTGGGAGTTCTTGGCACCAGCACTGAAGAGTAGGAATGGAGGATGACCGTTTCATATAGAGATCTTCACTATTCTTCCATCTTCTCTTCGCTCCAGTGACTCTTCTGAGTTCCCAACCTCAGTGAGGGGCTAGCACAGAGGTAGGGCCCCCATCTTCTGTAAGACCCTCTAAACACATCCTGGGCTAGAGCTTCTTCTGGTCAGTGTTCTTCCATGTAATTTGTCCTCTAGAAATCCATGGAGATCACTTCACCTCTTGTTCTCTCAACTGCTTTTGGTATTGTACGTTTTATATTTAAATCCTAGGAGGACGAGGAAATAAATACATGTGCTCAAGTCCCCATCTCGAACCAAGGATGAACATTTCCATTTTACACTGGGAAAAAAAAGAGGCTCGTGTGATTAAGTGACTTACCTAAGAACACACAGCAAAAAAGGGAAGGGCCAGAATTAAACCTGTGTGCTTTTGACTATGCCAAATACTTCTTTTTGTACAAATCATGACTCAGCTGGTATGACCTGGAGAAACAAGCCCTTACATAACATGATATGTTTAAAATACGCTGTCATCTGTGTATAAAAATGACTCATAAACTGCCCAGACTAAGAATTGTACAATTTTTACAAGTTACATATCTAGAATAAAATGAAAAAAATCATCAAAGTAGTAAAACAGCAGTTTGATATTTTGCGGGTCAGGTTGAAGTGGAACAGATCTCAAGGAGAGAAAATTGGGAGGAAGCATAGATCACCATTTGGGCAGCAGTGGCAAGGGCTTGGGACACTGAGTGCTCTCGGTTCTATGAAGTAAATCCACTTTAGAAGTCACATCTGGGGAGCAACTAACCAAATGAGATGGTGCGGACTCCAGGCAGTGGGGTGAAAAGAAGACGTGCTAGGAAGAAAGGGCACCCTGTCCATGTGGAAGCCACTCTATCATATAAACTCAATACTTACTAACTGCTATGCACAGACACTGCAAAAGGCTCTACAGATGCCTTCATCTCTTTGCCAAAGCATTATCCTGAAAAGTTAAGGATTTCTTCATTTTGGGATGCTTCCCGAAATTAAAAACCCCACGATATCTCACAGGAACCCATCCCATTCACAATGGTTTAAGATTTAGGGTGTCAAAAGAATTGTCCCAATTCAACCACAAATATAGTTTGAGGGCTTTTGAATAGCTGGTCATTTATTCAACAAATCTTTATAGAGCTCCTACTCTACGGCAGTCACTGGTGCTAGGACCTAGGGCCATTGTGGTGAGGAATAGGAGATTATTTCTAAGGAAGTTAATCACTTCTCCATCAGACAGTGCTGAAATATCCACTTCTCTCTTTCTCAAAGGCAGAGGCCAAATTAGCTTAATTCTGAAATGTAAAGACTGACCCACAGAAAACTGGGCTAGGTGGTTGATGAACATATTACATATTGTTACTAATTCACTGTGACATTAATTTAGATGCATGATATACAGGGAAAAGACATAAACAGAAAATCTTTCCATTCACAGTGTTTTTCTCTAATTTTCACCTTCCCCATAGCTGCTTTTATCTCAGTCAGATGAAAACAATTTTTTGGAAATCCATAGTGAAGTCTAGAACAAGCAAGCACATCCTCTGTTAAAGGTTGGCACATATTCCTGTGAACTCAGAAAGAGAACAGAGCTTTCCAGTAGGTCAAACAAAGAAAAGGGAGATTAGGAAGTCTGATTTCCTCTTCTTCCCATCAGTTGTCAGACACCATTGAATAATTGATTTCTGGTGGGCTGCCGTCTATGGGGTCCCACAGAGTCAGACATGACTGAAGTGACTTAGCAGCCTGTTCCTGAAAAGTAGATAGCTATCATTAAAGCATTTCCAAAAGGAAATATATTTTGCTTTTCATTAAAATGGAATAAATGAAATGGTACTGCAACAAAATAAACTTTTTAAGGTACAGTAATTGCATTTGTGATTTTTCCTTTTCCCCATCTAATTGCACTGTCTCCAATGGTCCTGAAACCTCTCCAGCAGCCTGACAGCCTGATAAACTCTAAAAGGAAGAAGGAAAACACAGTCTAAAAGGCAGGGTAGGTGCGGCAGCTAACAAAGGTCAAGATGAACAAAGAAGAAAGCGCAGTTACTGAAGTGTACGCAGATAAGGCATCAAGTTCAAGGTCTGAGCAGAAGTACACCAGACTGCAGTGTCCACATGGCACCTGATGACAGACCTCCCATGATGGAGCCCAACCTCTAGGTTCTTCTCAAACAGGAGGGAAGAGGGCAAGGCACAACATTTAACAGAATGACGTACTCCGAGGACTGGACATAAACTGATTAGAACCCAACAGGTCCAAGACGGCAGACGAGTCCAGCTCCACTAGACTTTGAGCCTCAGTGCATGCTCACTGTAACACATCGGCATGCTAAATCACACTCACAGGCACCATGACAATTCCAAGGCTGATCACAAAGATCAAAAAGTGGGTGGTGGCCCAATGTCTGGAAATCCCCACCTCTTTCCCAAAATAGCTGGAAAATTCCTTCCATTCCTTAGCTTATGAAATTACCCACCCCTATAAAAACTGACTATCTTTCCAGGTGGCATTAGTGGTAAAGAACTTGTCTGCCAGTGCAAAAGGCACAAAAGACTTGGGTTCGATCCCTGGATTGGGAAGATCCCCTGGCATAGGAAAAGGCAACTCACTCCAGCCTTTTTGCCTGGTAAGTTCTATGGACAGAGGAGCCTGGAGGGCTACAGTCTATGGGGTGACAAAGAGTCAGACATGACTGAGTGACAACATGTGTGCTAAACCACTCAGTTGTGTCCAACTCTGCAACCCTATAGACTGTAGCCTGCCAGGCTTCTCTGTTCATGGGATTCTCCAGGCAAGAATACTGGAATGGGTAGTCACTTCCTTCTACAGGGGATCTTCCCAATCCAGGGATTGAAGCCGGGTCTCCTGCATTGCAGGCAGATTCTTTACCATCTTTACCAGACATCACCCAATTCTCGCCTGAAAGCTATTCTGGAATATCTATGGTATCATCATTTCTAGGTAGCCTAGAAATAGCCATCATTGACAATCAGACAAATATGAAACCTATTCAATACTGCCTGTGCAGGAGTCAAATTCTGAAATGTCTATAACTTAATAAATTACAATTCACAGTTGTGTTAGCGAGCTTACTTTGTTTCAGCACTTCTTACAGTTGAAATGCTCAGATGTGTTTCCAGTTGGAAGCTGCCAACGAAGTGTTCATAGCATTTCACACTCACATGCTGTATCTTGTCGTTTTTCATACTCACATGAGACCGAGCCCTATTTTGCTCTTGTTTAAATTTTATTATCATAGTTAGTAGTGATAAGCTGACAGAAACAGGCTAAGGAAGGGAAAAAGGTTCAGATAAATAAGTTCTTATGAACTGAAACACAGGTGCATACTTGTGAGTTACCAGCTCCCCCACATCCTGTCCTGCTGTACTAAAGAGTCCACACCAGAGTCCACAGAACATTGTAAGCAGCCGATCCCTGGAGCTGGGCCCAGGACCCCGCTGTGTGAAGTCTCGGGGGTGATGTCTGTCTAGATAACCAGCTTTTCCACACTCAGCGTACTTGTGGTTTCATCCTCTTCATTTGACCCAAAGTATCCCGGGAGATCCAGCATCCGCTGCTCTGCCTCGGTGAGGCCGAAGGATGTATTGTCGTAGAAGGCGAACTCCGGGTGGGCGGGGAAGCTCTGACACTTGTCTTTTCTGCCCTGAGAAGGACTCAGCGGGCTGACCCTCTGGTAACCATCTTTGGGCGCCGGGGGGGAAGGCTGCTTCCTTGAGACACTCCTGTGACTGGGGGACGGCCCCCTCCGAGCCCGGGGAGGCTCCGGTCTCTCACCTGCCCCCACGAATCCGGCCTGGCGATCCCCCAGGTCCGGTTTCCTTGGGGGCGGCCCCAGGGAGTGGGGTTTGGGGAGAGGGCTTAAGGGACCACTGGCCCCCGCTGCCCCTGGGCCATGGTCCCGTTTCTCCAGGAACAGGGTAGCACCTCGACTCGGAGGCCGGCCTCGTTCTCCGGCCTGGTCCCAGGTCCGGGCCCTGGGGCCGTGGGCGGGAGTCGGCCGAGGGGTCAGCGTGGACAGGCTCCGCTCCCGGAACGGCCGGGCCTGCCTGGCCTCGTGAAAGCTTGCCGTCCTGCGGAAGTGGGACCCCCGGGGGTGGCTCCTCACCTGCGACTTGCGGAGGAGGGTCTGGCTGGGGCTGACCGCGCAGCTGGCCGCCGAGAGCGGGTGGTCCAGCCGGGAGGGGGGCCTGTCTCCGGCGCCCACCGCGGGGGGCTGCTCCAGGAACGGGGATTTGATCCGGAACTTGCCGGCCGCTGCTTCCTCGGGGCTCTCGGAACCTCCGGGGGACGCTGCGGCGGCGGCGGCGGCGGCATCGATGGCCGTGTCCGTCAGCGGGCTCTGGGACACGTGGTACACCTTGGTGGTCTCCGTCAGGCCTTTCTTCTTCATCTCCTTCAGCTGCTGCTGGGCCAGGCGGTAGCTGAACAGGGGCGGGATGATCTTCTGGGCGTTGGCCTGGAAGCTCTCGGTCCCCGAGGCCTCATCGTCGGGAGGCGCCGGCACGCTCCGCCGGTAGGTCAGCGGGATGCCTGGGGCCCCGGGGCTCCCCGCCGGCCCGTCACCCGCATCCGAGAAGCTGCCGCGCGGCTCGCTGAGCTCACAGATATTCTCCTCGTCGGAGTTCTTCCGGCAGCCCGGCCCGTGCAGCGAGTTGTGGCGGGCGGGCGTGCTGCACTTCGGGGCGCGGCCCAGCTTCCGCCACAGGGTGATGAGCACGGTGGCCACGATGATGAACAGGCACAGGGATATGCCGGTGACTGTCACGACATTGTTGGACTTCACGGGAGCCTGGGGCTGGAGAGGAGATGGGCTGGACGGTTGGAAAGCTACAAAAAAAAAGAAGAACAAATCATCCTCTGATATCCTTCTCTCTGCCTTGGTCTAAGGTCTCTGGGTGGCTTGCTGTAATTATCTAGCAGTTAAATAAGTGAAATAAACAAGGACTAGGACTTCTGGTCGTACATATTTCTATAGACAGCTTAAGTCAAACTGAAACAGACCCGTAGAAGTGTGGCGACCAGATGGGCCACAATCAGGGTGACTCCTGGCCACACTCATCATCTGCTGACACTTGAGCCCAAATTTCTACATAGAAGCCTCAGGAGGAGTGTTTCAAGGTAGAAAATCCAGGTTTTTCACATAAGGTAAGGTAAATATGGGCGTCCCCGATGGTTCAGTGGTAAAGAATCTGTGTGCAATGCAGGGAGACTTAGATGTGGTTTCAATCCCTGGGTGGGGAAGATCCCCTGGAGGAGGAAACGGCAACCCACTCCAGTATTCTTGCCTGAAAAACTCCTTGGACAGAGGAGCCTGGCAGGTTATAGTCCAAAGGGTTGCAAAGAGTCGGACACAACTGAGCACTAGAGCAAGGTAAACATGGGATATCTACAGTTAAATGTACCTTTGAGATGCACGTTGGGAAATTTCCAGTAACACTTGAAATGCAAAGTAATTTAGGCAGGTTGCAGCTACATGTGCACATCTCAAGAGAAATTAATAGGTGAAAATAGGTCTTTTGGCAATATACTACAACTCAAGTTTTCTCTCCCGTGTCCAGAACTGCCTTTCCTAGGTACTGGAGCCTCTGTTTTCCCACTTCTGCTTTCTCAGCTCTCTATCACCTCCCTCCCTTCCATGTGGTGCTGATTTTCCTCCTTCTTCCCTATTCTCTCAATCTGGTGTGTCCCACAGTCATCAAAATGTCTCACCAAGACTCAGACGCCACCTGGGACCTCAGCTTGTACTGCCACAAAAGTACCCAGGAACCTGAGACCACCCAGTTCCACCCAGCAGGACCTCTCTTTCAACTCTGAGGCCACTGTCCATCATTTAAGCCCTTCCAGTCACCTGTCCCCTCCCCTCTTTTTTTTTAACTAGTTAAGGTATGTATCAGGAGCAATCAAGGTCTTGCAAGTCATGATCCTGCAGAGCCATTAATCACGAATCATGTAAGTTCCAATCACCACATTCTATTCTGCCCTCCAAAAGGGGGAACAGGTAAGGATTAGCCTACCGGATGATTTTTTAAATTTATTTTTAATTGGAGGGTAATTGCTTCACAGCCACAAGGCTGTCCCGTGTCTCTCTTCCCTAGTCGTATTCCCAGCTCTGTGAGTCATCTCCTGGACCCATCCCCAATGCTCCCCTCCCCTTTCCACTGCACCCTATGAGACACCTATAGCCAAAGACCTCACCATCCAGAAACTTTCCACAAAACACTGTTCATCTCCTTGCCTGACCTGAGAATGGGCCCTCCCGCAGGGCACAGCCTCCTCCACCCACTCTTGGGTGGGAGCTTTATTAGAAGCGGAGCCAGCGGCAGGGCGTGTCCCTCAGCCTCCTCATCCCTGGCTGCCATCTCAACCAACTCTTTCACCTCCGTGTAGTTCTACTCTTCTGGTGCCCATGCCCATCCACCCAGAACCCCCCTACCCCTCCCTCAACTCTTGTCATCTCCCCACTTCCAGACAGTCATCAGTCAGTAGCACCCAGGTCCAGGCTCCCTCACCATCCCAGAGCTGGGACCATTCGTGTCCTCCCAAGCTGTCATCCCTTCCCACTCTCTGCAGGTGCTCTTAACCTTCACAGCCCACTTCTGGCTGTCTCCTCCCTTCTCATTCATTCATGATTCCTACACTGGGTATTCAGTCTCACTGCAAAATCTGATTCTCTAACCCCTCCGGTTTCTCCCCTTCCTCCAGTCACTTTCCACTCTCACTTCTCTTCCTGCACCAAGGATCCCTCATTTGAACCCTTCTCCTGCCAATAATCTCAATTCTCTGCATTCTAATACCGAGCTATACCCCTTCCCCTGCTCTGCAGCGGAAGTCCGTTCCTAGATGAATCCAGACTGTGGATTCCCAGCTGCAACACCCAGGCCCTGAGCCCTGGTGGAGAAAATAATGGACCACGCAGGCCAGTGCCTCTGTGTACTGACAGCACCCAAATCTGGCCGCCCACAATCCTGTCACGGGTGCCTCCCCACCCCCACTGCTTGGAAGTTGCCCCATTCACCCTCTTCCTCGGCGGTCTGCTGGAGCATGAAGATGAGAAGCTATCAAGCAAGTGCAGCTCTGGCTTCTTCTGCCATCCTCCCCTCCAGCATGAACTGAGCAGCTGTCACACCTGTTTACCTCTTCCTCTAGGGAATTAGGAGGAGCAGTGTCTTCCCATAAGGATGAGTCCACCAAAGTATGCTCTAGGCCACCCTTCTCCAGGGGGACTCTCCCTCTGCACCAGTTATCGCCAGCTTCTCCTGGAGGAGAAGCTCCACAGAAACACTCTCTAGCTCTTCTCAAAGACCTTCCGAGAACTCTGACTACTGCTACAGATGTACCTTGCTCGTCTTCCCGGCTGAACCTACAGAAAGAGGGGTCCACGTGCACTGACTTATGGCTTCCACGTCATCCTCTCTGGCTCCTGCAACCTGCCCCCAGGTTTCCAGTGGGCCACCTCCGACTGGAAGTCATTAAGATCTACTAGCCAAGGAGCTCCACCTTGACAGTCCTTGAGCTTTGCAGCATCGGCTCCTGTCTGACCCTTCCTGTGACTGTTTCTCCTCTTGGTTTCAACAGGTATCTAATTTGGAGACAAGAGCGTGGACTCTGGAGCCAGTGAGAACCAGATCCCATTCTGGTTCTACTAGCACTGCTCTCTCCATCGATGTCCCACCAAACGTCCACCTCCACACACCGAGGACTCAGCACCTTCCCCCAGAGCCTGCGCCTCCTCTGATGTATCTCATCTCAAGGGAATGGTGTCCCGTCCATGCAGTTGCCAGCAACAGAATCCTAGGTTTCACCCAGGATGCTCCCCTCTCCATGCCTGCCACATCCAGAGTTGCTGAATCCTCTCCTCCACATCCCACTGCCTTGGGTCACTGACAAACTCTTTTAAGAGGCCTCCTGCAGCCATTCCTGCCCCTTCTGATTTCTACTCCACACTGCAGCAGAGAGAGCCCTCGACAGCACAGGTCCAGTCTTTCAACGGCCCTCAGGATCTGGCTTGTCCAGACTCATTGTGTGTGTGTGTGTATGTGTGTATTTTGCAGCACTACGCAGCTTGTAACATCTTAGTTCCCTGACCAGGGATTGAACCCAGGCCCTTGACAGTGAAAGCACTGAGTCCTAACCACTGGACTGCCAGGGAATGCCCCGGTCCAGCCTATTTATATCCCTCCTTCCTGACACTGTCCTCCAGCCACATCAGACTGTCGTCAGTTCTCTGGGTTTCTCAAGGGGCCCATCATCTGCTGAGCTTTCATCCATCGCTCCCTTCGCTAAAACTCCCTTTCTCACCTAGTTCACCAGGTGACACTTATTCAGCTTTCAAACTTCAGCTCACATATCACTTCTTCCAAGAACAGAGGTGTTCCCAACCTAGACTGTCACCAAGTATCCACAGCAAGCTGTGGATATCTTCTATTGTACTGGACGCTACGCCTGCTTATGTGTCTGCTAAGTTACTATATCACACGCCCCTTCCAGACAGAGAGACATGGCTTACTTATATAGTTCCAACTCCAGTCAATAACTGGCATAGAGCTGGTACTCAGTCAATGTTATATTCAGTAATTGATTCATTATTTTAAAGGTCGTAACAAAATGTTCAACATCCCATCTGATGGAATGTGGGTACATGGCAACTGGATCCACCCACTGCTGCGGTGAACAAGAAGGGCCAAATTAATGTAGAACTTCACTCAGACCTTGGCATAAAAACATCCTTTCAAAACCAAACAAAACTCTAGACTTTCAAACAAGTGAAAATAGTTGAATGATGAAAGACTTGTTTCCTGGCTGATCATGTCTTCATCTGCAGCGGCTGCTCTGTCAGTGGCAAACGTACATGACAGACCTCTTAGCTGTCACCTTGGACTCTGGTTGGAATCCTTTAAAACCACATCTGGGGAAAAGCCCCAGAGGTGCTGACCTCACCCATCTCTGCCTCATCTCGTCTTTCCCTGAAGTGAAGCAGAGTTTCCTGATGCTAAGCAGCCTGCAAACAGGTCTTTACACTTCCAAGGAGTGGAAAACAGCCTAAACTGGAGACAGAAACACTCGGGAGAAATGATCATTTTTATCCACATGAGCATTTACCTGAGGACCACTGACAGCAGAAGCAGGGGTGTCTGTAACACTTACCCTTTTTGCTAATTTATAATACGCAAATTTCCAGTTCCCACCCAGGATTAAAGAGATTAAGATGCGAGAACATGAAATAATACCACACAGCTGCAAAAAAATGATTGCTAATTCCAGGATGCTTTTAGAAAGCTAGACTGACCTGTAATATAGAGAGGTAAAGTATTCAAGTTAGGGAGCTTAGGGCGAGGCCAGATCTAGTCCCTTGCTTTCTAGCTCTACGGTCTTGGGCAGGTGGCTTATCCTCTCTCTGCTACAAAGTTCTTACCTGTATATGGAGATAATGATGGACCGACTTTATACATGCAGGGCACTTAAAAAAAATGCCTGGCAGCATCAAGCTCTCAAGATCTAAGCCTAGCATAAGAATCCTTGTCTTGTAGAATTACTGAGTTTTGAGTGAGACATGTAATAAATGGTTGATATTGCTGTCGCTGCTAAAGGTGCAGTAAAGTCAGAGGCAGTTGATTTTTAATTCATTTGAGTATCATGGAACTCTAGATGGAATAGCTTAACACAGCATGCCCAGAATGAAAAGCAGAAAGTTACACACAAGGAAGGAGCTATGGAGAGTAAGGGGACTTATAAAGAAAAGGGCAGATAGAGAAGAAAGCCTTAGAAGACAGTAAGAGACACAGCTGGAGAAACAGATTTGGGGTGGGGCCCAGGGCTGATAAAAGAGGAGGGGAAAGCTGGGGGCTGGGAGGACAGCCTATGTCTGAAGCTGTAACAGGAAAATCACAGGAGAGACAATGGCCTTAGGATGCTGGAAGAAAGGGAACAAGGCCTATAGCACTGGCTGCAAAGAGGAGACAGCAGGATTCTGGAAGGTCACAGGTGGGGACACTGGTCAAGGTACTGCCAGATGCTGGTGGTCTGCTCAACAAGGTGCTCTGAGATCAAACACAGAAAACATCTAACTCCTCCAGGTCCCAAAGGGACAGGAACAGGGGTGGTTTTCAACCTGGAGTCGGAGAATGGAAGAAATCAGGACTGGAGAGAGGGGCCTCACCTAAGGGTCAGGACCAGAGCAAAGGCTAGTCAACTAAATGGGGAGCTGGCTGTGTCTCGGATGAGGGATGGTGTGTGCAAAGATTCCTTTTTATTGAAACCTGTGGGAAATGAATGGGATTCAGCTCCATAAGCTGCAGCAAACCCAGCTGAGCAACCTGAGCACCCCACCAGACCATCCACATCAAGTCCTCACTGAGCACCTGCTAGTGTGGGCCTTCGAGGTGCTCAGGAGGATGAAGGAAGGGCCAGTCTCCAGGTGATGTTAACGTGAAATGCCCCACCTTCTCCTCCTGGGCAGGGGAGTACAGAATAAATATAGGGCCCTTCACGGGATAAGGCAGGGCGTCTTGCCCCATTTTGGACAATTGGTCTATATGGTTCCCTGGGATTTCTTGGAGATAAGGAGGAAAAAACCAATATTCTAGTGTTTAACCACAGTTCCCCCCTCACCAAGTTTTGATGGAGAGAAGTTAAAGGAGGGAGAAACAGCAAGAAATCTTGGGAAGAAATGACCATCCCTCCAATTTTTTGCATTTTTAAAAATGATTCTGTATGTCTGAACCTTTCATTTAGACCTATGTCCTTGTCATCTTCCCATTTTTGACAGTGTTAAGTCCCCGGTCATCTTGCTGGCAAGCCAGCCCCAGCTGTAGACACAGTGAGGGGCAGAGAGTCGGTACAGCCAGCAGCAGTGACAACGCAGTTGAGTCCACTCCTGAACTCAGATTGGCGACTGCCAGGCAGGCCTGAGTGCAGCAGTCCCTCCGGGAGAGGCTCGGGCGGGAGGATGGATACCTACCAGCACAGTCCTCCAGGGAACACGGGGAGGTCTCCGAGGACATTCCGGGGCAGCCAGGTCGGGAGGGGGAGGCGGTCAGGCACACGCGGCGACGCTCTCTGACACCGTCCCCGCACGAGGCGCTACACTGGCTCCACGGCTGCCACAGCCCCCAAGTTTCTGCAAGGACACCGGCCAGGCTTTTAATGCTAACTCACCTGGAGAATCAGAATGTCAGCGCACCCAAAGGAAGCGGCAAAACTCAAATCTCAGGCCATGAAAAGTGAGTAACGTGGAACATTCCCAAAGACGGGCAAAGCTGGAATACTGCTGCTACCCTTACAACAAAGCAAAGTAAAAATGTGAGGAGCTGAGGTGTGTTTGACTCTTTGCGACCCCATGGACTGTAGCCCACCAGGCTCCTCTGTCCCTGGGATTCTCCAGGCAAGAACACTGGAGTGGGTGGCCGTTCCCTTCTCCAGGGGATCTTCCCGACCCAGGGATCAAACCCAGGTCTCCTGCATTGCAGGCGGATTCTTTACCAGCTGAGCCACCAGGGAAGCCTGTATAATTTATAAAATAGCAACCATTCTAGAACCCATCAGACAGTAAAGGTCACAGGACAACCAAATGGCCTGAATTATAAGGAAAGACAGACTCCTCCAAGGAAAGCCAGGATGCAAACATTATTTCCTGGGGCAGACGCCACGCCTCACACAAGTTGGTGAAAAGAAGTCATCTAAAAATGTAATGAAGGGGCTTCCCACGTAGCTCAGTGGTGAAGAATCCACCTGCCAATGCAGGGTACATGGGTTCGATCCCTGGTCTGGGAAGATCCCACACTAGGCCCATGAGCCACAACTACTGAATCCACATGCTGTAACTACTGAAGCCCGCGTGCCCGAGAGCCCATGCTCCACAACAAGGGAAACCACTACAATGAGAAGCCCAAGCAGAGCTTACCGCCATCGGAGAAGGTCCACACGCAGCAGCGAAGACCCAGCAGAGCCATAAATTAAGTAATTAAATAAAAAATAAAAATGTAACGAACTGTCAGAGGCCTGGTGCAGGCTAGGAGAATACAGAAGCCCTGGGAGCCACACCACCCACGGGGGATTTAGACCCACTGGCAGGCTCTCAGCCACGAAGCTCACCAGCTGTTCACAAGGAGGACTGGGGGCAGGTTCAAGACCAGAAGGAGCCTCCCTGAGGTGGAGGCCCAGGAGGGGAGGAGCAGCCTGTGGGGAAGACACAGACCTCATCCAGGGCCTCCTCTCCATCTGTCAACAAGAGCCCCAACCCCTGGGCACACTCTAAGAGCACCAGCTGAGACCTAGTGCTGCCGAGGAATGAAAAAAAAAGAGAAGGCTTCACCCTTAGAGAGGAGACCCGGGGCCGAGATGAGTACCAGAGTGGGTTGCCATTTCCTTCTCCAGGGGATCTTCCTGACCCAGGGATCAAACCCGGGTCTTCTGCATTGCAGGCAGACGCTTTTTACCCTCTGAGCCACCAGGGAAGCCCAGGATGCAGAGCAAGGAGTATTACCAGGGATAAAGAGAGATGTTTACATAATGATAAAAGGGTCAATTCAGCAAGGAGACTTAACAACCCTAAATAGGGATGCACCTAACACCAGAGCGCTTGCAAAGAGTCAAGACATCTGAGTGAGTGAGCACACTTGCACTAACATCAGAGCTTCAAAATACAAACAGAAAACATCCAACACAGTCATTATCGATTGGCAAATGCAAACTTCTTCCCCAAGCATATATGTAATCACTGCCAGATAGAATAATTGAATAACCCCCTATAAATAATTATCCTATGTCCCTTCTCTATCAACACCCATCCAATCCCAAGATCTATCAGGTCATGCCCACACTAGGCACCAAAACATCCTGTGCATAAAAGTCTCTCTTCTTCATTATGGACAAAAACTCATCATGCAGTCAAGGGTGTACAAAGCACTACAAAAACATAAGGAGAACATGCAGGGCAGATACATTCTCAGGTGAGCCAAGTGGTGCAATCCTTGGAGTGAGTCATGGAATATGACTTCTTTACAGCAATTAAAAGTCTTGGATTTTCACAAGAGTGGGAGCATTACAAACCAGTATCCTGGACCAATGTCAAGTGAGGTGTGGTAATTATGTTCCATCCAGAGTTCCAACTGAACACAATATTGGTTCTGTGTCTCCCAGATCACACTGCAGCTCCTCAAACGGCTAAACAACAAGCCAGCTTTGTCCTCGAGCTTCACAGCTGTTCAGACACTACGCTTCCAGTGCTTGTAAAGCTTTGGGAAGCTCCTAATAAGTCTCTCTGAGCTAAAGTACTTTATTTCTGAAAAACCTCCTGGGAATTCCACTACTGTGACCTCTAAATGGCAAATTAAGTCAATGTATAGTTTATCTTTCTCTTGTCCTTGTATTTAAGACCACAAAAGGTAGATTACAAAAGCCAAGAATCCTTTTGTTATTCTTTCTTAATTCTTCTACTTTACATGTGATGTTGTGGTTTTTAATCTCTAAGTCCCATCCAACTCTTTTGGGACCCTATGGACTGTAGCCTGCCAGGCTCCTCTGTCCACGGGATTTCCAGGCAAAAACACTGGAGTAGGTTGCCATTCCCTTCTCCAGGGTATCTTCCCAAACCAGAAATCAAACCCAATCTCTTGCATTGGCAGGTAGATTCTTTACCATTAAGCTACCAGGGAAGCCCACTCTTTATTTTACACAGATATTATTTAAATATATAGTCATCTGTCAAACCAAAAATAAAAATTCCATTAGTAGGAGCCAGAAAAAAAAAAAAAATCAAAGTTCTGGTAAAAGCATGAATCTTAATGTCAAAAATCTCATTATGAAATGTGTCTTTTTCCTTTGAAAGCTAAATCATGGCTGGTAGGATCATTAGCCATTGAAAAAAAAATAAACATTTAAACTAAGTTTTAGTTCTTTTACTTCTAAACCAAATTAATCAAACAGAAAACAAGAGAAATCACTCAAAGCAATGAACAAATTTAATCAGGCAATATTTTAAATGCCTTAAACAACTCTATCTGTTCCCTGAAGATTTCTGTTAAAAACACTGGAGAAAATACTTAGCAAATGGGGACTGACTGGATAGCTATAATAAACGTAGTAGAAATGGAGAGGCAGATGACCAATTTTCTAAATAGTCTTCCTTCATGAATGACAGGCTGTTTGTTTTGCCCTGTTTAGATGTCCATACATGCATTCATACTACATAGCAAACCTGTTTGGCCAGGATAAATGCTTTACAGGCCACTCTATAGGATATTAAATCTGAATGAGCAAAATGTGTTCAGAATAGGGAAAGGGAGATTTGTTTCCACTCCAAGAATATTTGAAGAGTATGAAATATTCACATTTGCAAGATATTTTGCTTATGAGTCTAATGTAACTAAACAAAACATGCTTATAAGAAAATTTAAGAGACTTGAGTGACTAGCTAAGAGCAGCCGTGGGAGCAAAGACTCTTGGATCAGCAGTTCGGATTTTCTGTGCCTGACACAAGCCCATTCACATGAGACCACGCATGCTTATGCCTGGGCCAGCGGGCTCCAAAGTGGGTTACATGTCTTCAAGAGGGGTGGGCAGCACAAGATGAACCAATGAGGTGAGGAGGAAAATACTGGAACTTTTTTTCAATCAAAAAGTTACAATTAAGTTACTTAATATCTAGATTGACAGATGATTGTATAGTAGGCAGCATGGAATATCGGTAATATACCAAATGCTGGACTTCCCTGGTGGTCCAGTGGTTAAGAATCCACCTGCTAATCCAGGGAACATGGGTTCGATCCTTGGTCCAGGAAGATTCCACATGCCACAGGGCAACTAAGCCTGTGTGACACAATTACTGAGGCTGCACCGTAGATCCTGTGCTCCGCAACGAGAAGCCACTGCAGTTTGAAGCCTGTGCCCTGCAACTAGAGAGCAGCCCCTGCTTGCCACACCGAGAGAAAGCCTGCATGTAGCAACGAAGACCCAGCACAGCCAAAAAAAACGCTCAAGCCAGTCTATTCACCAGTAGTTTTTAAGCCACCAACCTAACCTTTCTATGCCTCCCTTTCTTTACCTATACAGTTGACAATAAAATAAACCTAACTCATACAGTTATTATAAGGATTAAATGGGCCTAAAACAGCTCTTGGTGCAAAGTAATCACTACATGAATGTGATTATGCCAAATGGTCACATAGAGGATGTCAGCTATTCTTAAAAAATCCCAAAGGAAGAGCAGGAGTTCCACCAAGTGGAAGGGTATACTGGTTCCTTCCTTGTCAGAGAACTGCAGAGTATTAAAGCATCTAAGGGCTTGCTTATATTAAATTATATTTTCCAGGTTTAGGTAAACCAAGTGGATGAGTGGTTTAAAAAGATTCTGGCAAAGAATTAAAGATGAAACAGTAATTAAGCACCTGAAAATAAGACAACAGTAACAGGATGACAGGACTCCTATTCTTGACAAAAGCTCTTGTCCAGTCACAGTCGGAATGAAAAACCAGACCAACTAATCAGAGAAACGAGAAGACAGCCAACAGACTTAAATTCCCAAGAAAACTATGTGCTAAATATTTACAATTTTTGCTTGTCAAAAACACTATGTGACTACGAATTTACACCCTCTATCAGTAATTCTCAACTTAGTCCTAAATATAGGTTTTATATATATATTTGCCTTGAGAAACAGGATCCATTATCCCTTATCTGACACCACTGGGGCAGATGAGTCCAGAATTTAGAATTTCTCAATTTAGATTTTTGCATATTACTGCAGCACCTGTGCCCGATATTACTAACACTCCCCTTGAAGCATCTCATAACCACACATATAACATTTCTGTAGAGAAACTCATAAACATTCACACTAAGTAGGATAAGTGAAGATCACAAATAATCATTTTTGACACTATCCTGTTCCTGTAAATTAGTATGTGCATGTTTAAGGTCCTAAGACATATTTGGAAAAACAGACAAATCCATCAAACCCATTTTCCCTTTTCAAAAGGAACTAATGGGAAATTCATTGTGCATCAGTGAGTCACAGCTCATGGTGGGCTCAATGCAGTGGGGGGAGGTCCTTGAATGATGCCATTTGGCAACAAGGACAGTCTTTACTGGTTAGAGCCAGCAATTTAAATGGAAAATGAA